TCCCAAACAAACCTACTCTCTTTATAATTAAGAAGCACATATAAATGTATCTTAGTTGTATTATATCTTTGTTTAATTTATACTATAGGTTATTCCGATTACCCGTTAACTAAGAAATTTTCCTTTAAATAATTTGTCCCTTTCATGTTTGTGATAGCACATTTGCTTTAACAAAGTTAATTTCATCAATTTAAAACAAAAAAACTCCTCCGTTTTAGATATACACATGAAAGAGTGGTGTAATTCATCATACAAATTTGCCCCTGTAACATATGTTCACAAATTACCAAAGTCCTTTTAAGCATCAAGACACTTTGCCTTGAGAAACATGGAAATGAGTATGAAATTGCATTTTGTAAGGGGAATTTCCTATGGGCATGAAATTGCACCTGACTCATGGGTATGAACTTCCTATGTAAGGGAAATTTCATACCCTTGGCTCTCTCTCTCTCTCTCTCTCTCTCTCCACACACCCCTTGAGAAAGCATTTAATGCACTTTCTTTTGACTAAACTATCCATATTCTAATTAAAAAAAATATCATTTTTCATTAACTACTTTAAATATAAAAAAAAAAAAAAGGGTATTATGGGAAAAGTCAACAACTTTTCATTCGTAATACGACATAAACCAAACATGAGAATGTGAGAAATTGACGCTTCCTAGTCTTCATTTCCCAACGTTTCCAAATATGGGAATGTTCATTCCCATTTCCTGAGATTATACATAAGAGTTTCATTCCCAGGAAGTTCATTCCGCGAACCAAACAAACCCTTTGCGAGGTAGGGTTTCAGCAGTTTCATATTGCTGACCAGTGTCTTGCTACTTCGTGCCATCATAATTTTGTCACTTTTATACACTTGTAGCCGTTTCAATAGCTCGTCGAGTATCATGCCTACCTACACTTAAGTGCAGTTTACCTTGTTTGTTCAGTGCCTACTTCATCAAGCTTCAAATCTTAGGATTTATCGAATGGCATGCTCTTTGTTTTCGGCGCTTGATAACGGAAGAAAAGCAGGAAGGATAGCATTGGGGATCTAGAGTGACGATTTCTCCAAAGATATTCAAGGTAATTCTTTCTGCCTAGTTACATTTTGCGATACAAATCTTCTAGGAACTATATGATTAATTATTCTCTAGTTTGGCTAGATCTTGAATTTTGATTTACACAATACGCATATCACATAAGTAGTGACTCGTTAAGGTAAAAGGAATTCTCTTTGTACTCATTTTCTATGTGGTCTTGAAGATTATTCTACTGGCGAGATTTTCTTAACACATTTCTTGTTTGTTAAATCATAAATTAACTTTTCATTTATTTTTTCTTCTGAAAATGATACCCAATTATTTCTTATATAGTTCATTTAATTGGTATAATTTGAAAATAATTATAGTTTAAAATATGCTTTTACTTTCATCTTAATAAGTTAACAATCAAAATTAATTATTAGATTTTTGGTGTATAAATATAAATATTCTTTGGATTCACACCAATATTTTTTTTTTCAACTTTTGGGTTTTCAGCATGGCAAGTGGAATCTCATTGTCCACATGCATGTGCATATATGCATTAGATTGACCTGTATCCACATTCAGATCTCAGTCGGTTTGAAGTTAGATTAAAATCTGGATCCATTGGTGCAATTCCTTTTTTTTTTTTAATTATTATTAATTTTGGATACTTTTTTTTAACTTGAATTTTTGTGGGCAAGTAAACAATTTTTTCTACATAAAAATTTAAAATGCTCATATTGTTAAGGGATTTCTCAAATAATTTTATTTTAGGAACACCCTTTAGGGTCCCATACGAATTTTTTTTTAACGATCCAAACTGTCTATTTTTCAAGTCTTTATTCATAAATCATCCTTGGAAAAAATCATGCAAATTGAAAATCATTAAAGCATCTAGTTGGGACCAACAAAATAGACGAATACAATGCTTCAAGAAAAGACTATAATAACAACTATCTAATTAAGTGGTCAAATGGTTTCAGATTCAACTAACTTTTTGTAGAAATGATCTTTGATGAAATATCTAAAAAATAGACGGTTTAGATCATTGAAATACAATGTGTGGTGGACCTTACAAGGGTGTCCCTCAAATAAAAATTTGAGGAATCTCTCAACTGAAGCTATATATATATATATATATATATATATACATGTATAGTAAATATAAAAGTGAATCAGTTGTATATCATATTAAGTTGGATTGGATTAGTCCTTGGTTATATTTGAATTGTTAAGTTAACGGGTTAATAGATTGATATGAAGGTCGGATCTAGAACCGGATTGTGACTTCAATGGAGGATTGCTTACATACGAGGAGCTTAAACGGACCAGTCCTTTCTCACTTTTCAGTTACCGAAATATACCACTTAAAAGCTAGCTGTTAAGATTTATGCTAATTCAATTACAAATGTGTCAACTGTGAATGAAAATTGAGGAGAAAATGGCGTCAAATAATAAGAATGGAAACAAATCAAAATGATCTTTGCTATGAGAAAAAATAAATGTGTTATGATTATCGATACATATATTTGCTTCATTGTTACTTTCTTAAGGTTTTTTTTTTTTTTTTTGCCAGACCAAAACTACAAAGCAGGAATATTGTTGGACCAAGACAATGGCGTACGAGCTCAGAGCTAGAAAGAACAAGCTGCAGGTATATCAAAGTAACTGGAGCAGTTCAGTGTTTTCGAGTGACGAAACAGATAGTTCTGATCCTGAGTATACAAGGAGGCCCCCAAGAAGGCAAGCAAAGAACTACAACCTGAATATTGCTCAAATGGCTGAAGCGGGGCCAGCTACAACCTCAGCTGGGAATTTGGAATTGGAAAGGCCAAAACGGGGTCGTCCTCGAAAGAATACCAGGCCTAGGAGGCAAACAAGAGCTCGATTTTCATATAGCAACCCTGCTGGATCGTCAAACCAGACAAAGAATCTCAAAGATAGCAGAACTATATTGTCATGGTTGATTGACCTCCATATAGTTGAGGATAACGCAGCAGTCTTTTATAACAATGAGATAATGCTGAAGGGGACAATAAAAAGGGCTGGAATTTTGTGCATTTGCTGTGAACAAGTGTTTACAGTGTGGAATTTCGAGGTTCATGCTAAAAGCGATTTAACAAGGCCGTACGAATATATTTTGGTCGAGAGCAATGGAAACTCCCTCCTCCAATGCCTGATGGATGCATGGGAGAACCACATTGAATCTGCTCCACAATTTGGATTCCATCATAGCAGGCCCCGAACAGCACCAGCAGACCAGAACGACGATTCGTGTATGATTTGCTCAGATGGAGGGGATTTGATGTGCTGTGACAAATGTCCTTCCGCCTTCCACCCTTCATGCATGAACATGGAGGTGAGAAGGTCCTTTCTTACAAATTTTATGATTTGTTAAGTAACTCAACTTTCTAAAAAATTTCTTCAACTTTTGAACTGCAGAGAGTTCCCGAAGGAGAATGGGGATGTTCCTACTGTCTCTGCATACATTGTGGACTTGTTCGTGGGAAGTTCCTTACATGTTCAGTTTGTGAGAAGAAATGTATACTTCTTCATTTCTAAATGAATGTCATATTAGAAGTTTCTTAGCTTTTGGATTTGCTCCAATTTGAATCTGTCAAAATAGAGACAAAATTTATAGTATGTGAGAAGAAATGTATTGCTAAAATGTCAGAAACCTTTGTGTAGTTCATTGGAGTTGCCCTGCGCCAAACGAAATCGATCTCAATCTCTCAACTTCATCATTTTGCAGTAAGAGCTGCAGCGAGGTACATGCTTTAGTACATTTTACTTACACAGAGATTTAATCGTTTTATCAATTCTTTTTCGTGGTACAAAAATGTTGACATAAATGAACTTTTGTAACAGATTTTTGAGAAATTGGAGCTGATGGTTGGGGCCAAGAATGATTTAGACAACGGATATTCTTGGAGGCTTCTCAAGAGAGAAGATATAAGCTTAAGAGGCCATACTGAAAATTTGCACAAAAAATTAGAATGCAACTCCAAGATCGCAGTGGCAGGGGTCTTGATGCACCGCTGCTTTGAGACCATCATCGACCGATTCACTGGAACAAATGTTGTTCAGAGTGTAATACACAGTCAAGGGTAAGCACAAGGTTCTTAATCAGCTAATTTCTTTTGGTTTTTTTTTCTTCAAGTTATTGAATGATGAAAAAGATGTTGATTTGGTAGTTTAAGTTTGAAAGCCCATTTGGTTGGTTTTAAGTAAGCCCATGAGGCCCATTTGTTCTAGTGGCTTCGGATTTCGAGTCACCCACATATATATACATCATCTTCTCACTGTATTTAGTGTGCATCCACATTTTTTTTTTTGGATGAGATCCAAGGGTGTCCACCGCCGACAGTAGTGACTTATCCCTTTCGCCCCGGGAGCTCTCCAAAGGAGGTAAACAGCTGGCCACGAAATGCGCTCCATTCCCATGGGCGGGGATCGAACCCCCAACCACATGGTTAAAGAATGAGGTGAGCTACCACCACACCACATCTCATGGTTAGTGTGCATCCACATTTTAGTAAGAGAGAAAACTCTCTCTTTTGTTTGGGCATAGGTCCTTTCTTTTGAAATAATTTGAGAGAGCCAGAAACATCTATGGTGCGTTTGGATGAGGGAAATAAACTTGGGATTTTGACAAAAGTCGGAATTTCTAAATTGACATGAACCAGTTCCCGTGTTTGGATAAAAAAAACATAGAAATTTAGAAATTCCGCGTGGGAAAAAACATGGAATTTGGAGATCATAAATCCAAACTTTAAATTCCATCTAAAAGTTGTCATTTCTAAAATCCCAAGAGAGATTGAGTTTTTAAAAAGATAACTTTACAAATAAAGGTTAAATTCCGTGTTTTAAATCCGTCACCCAAACAAGAAACTTTACAAATTCTAGAACATTAATTTCTGTCATTTTAAATTCTGTCATTTTAAATTCCGTCATTTATGAAATCCTTTGTATTTTTAAATTTCCTCATCCAAACACACTGCTAAGGTGAATGTGAATTAAGGTGAATGGAGTGGGACTCACAACATTTGTAAGTGAAGAAAATCTTCTCTTTGTTTTGTGAGAGAAAAATAATTTTTGTCTCTTTTTTATGAGCTACTTCAGATCTGGTTTTGTTCCCTAATATGAACTTTATTCTTGACTCATCTGTGTGGGAGTGATTTGGGTGATTTTTTTCGGTTTTTGGTTTGAGCTTCTTCAGATCTAGTTTTGTTCTCTAATCTGAACTTTGTTATTGACTCATCTATGTATGAGTGATCTTGGTGAATTTTTCTGTTTTTATTTGAGCTACTTGAGATATGGTTTTGTTCTCAGATCTGAACTTTGTTATTGACTCATCTGTGTGGGAGTGATTTTGGTTTTTTTTTTTTTCCGTTTTTTGTTTGAGCTACTTCAGATCTAGTTTTGTTCTCTAATCTGAACTTTGTTATTGACTCATCTATGTATGAGTGATCTTGGCGAATTTTTCTGTTTTTATTTGAGCTACTTGAGATATGGTTTTGTTCTCAGATCTGAACTTTGTTATTGACTCATCTATGTATGAGTGATCTTGGCGAATTTTTCTGTTTTTATTTGAGCTACTTGAGATATGGTTTTGTTCTCAGATCTGAACTTTGTTATTGACTCATCTATGTATGAGTGATCTTGGCGAATTTTTCTGTTTTTATTTGAGCTACTTGAGATATGGTTTTGTTCTCAGATCTGAACTTTGTTATTGACTCATCTATGTATGAGTGATCTTGGCGAATTTTTCTGTTTTTATTTGAGCTACTTGAGATATGGTTTTGTTCTCAGATCTGAACTTTGTTATTGACTCATCTGTGTGGGAGTGATTTTGGTTTTTTTTTTTTTCCGTTTTTTGTTTGAGCTACTTCAGATCTGGTTTTGTTCTCTAATCTGAACTTTGTTATTGACTCATCTATGTGGAAGTGATTTGGGTGATTTTTTCCTATTTTTGTTTGAGCTACTTCAGATCTGGCTTTGTTCTCTTGTTTGAACTTTGTTCTTGACTTATCTGTGTGGGAGTGATTAGGGTGATTTATACCTTTTTTTTTTGAGCTACTTCAGATCTAGTTTTGTTCTCTAATCTGAATTTTGTTCTTGACTCATCTGTGTGGGAATGATTTGGGTAATTTTTTCTCCTTTTGTTTGAGCTACTTCAAATCTGATTTTTTTCTCTAATTTGAACTTTGTTCTTAACTCATATGTGTGGGAGTGATTTGGGTGAATTTGGGATTCGTGTTTGTGAGAGTTAGACACTCCTATGTAATCTCCCTTCTAAGAGTATCCACAGTGAGGGGGTGTATTTTCGGGGGTGTAAAGCCACTTTTACATCCCCTTTACACCTCCGGGGGGTGTAAATACGCTTTTTGCTCCAATAGGGGGGTGTATTTTCGGGGGTGTAAAGCCTCTTTTGTTCATTTTTCCTCTCCTTTTTGCAGCTGGATCCCTCCTACAAGAGATGTAAAAAAAAGATGTGCAATTGCATCTAAATATGCATCTCCAAGGTGATGTAATTATACATTCATATACACCCCCCATTGCGGGTGATTCCGATCACAATGGGTGTATATTTAACATACACCCCCTCACTGTGGATGCTCTTAGTAGTGAAATTTCCTTACCCTTTGTGAACTGCACAAAGGCTACAAAATCAAACTAGTATAAACATCCGTGTGTTGTTGATTTATCTGTGTGTCATATTTTGCCTATGTATGACTAAATTGAAAATTGTTTGTAAAATCGTTCTTTTTCAGGTCAAATTTGGGTCGATTAAATTTTAGAGGTTTCTATACTGCCATCCTAGAGAAGGACGATGAAATCATCTCTGCAGCATCTATAAGGTAAAGGTCATGCATGTGTCTCATAAAAGTTTTATAGGAAGATGAAAAAGAGCATCATTCTTTACGTGCTTATCCCATTATGCTTTTGTAGAATACATGGAAGAGAGATGGCAGAGATGCCCTTTGTGGGAACCGAATCGAAGTGCAGGGGACAAGGATTTCTTCGAAAGTTTCTAGTAGCTATTGAATCTGTAAGTTGTTGCATAAGTAGATATATAATAGTTCCTTACATGGTGATTGTCATTGGCCTAGGGTTTTTTTTTTTTTTAAAAAGCAATCCTCATACACTGATTTATTTTTCAGGCCCTTCACTTCTTAAATGTGGAAAATCTGATCATTCCAGCTTCAATAGAAATAGTTGGAATGTGGACTAAAAAATTTAAATTTTCCCACATTGAAAGTGCCATGATCAGAACAATAATCTCCTCAAACACATTGATGTTTCCGAAGGCTGTCAGGCTACAGAAAAACTTGCTGGCAGATGATGCGGAAGCAGACAATGCAGGTCTCTCTCTCATAAATACACAATATTTTTCCTGCTTATATATGTGTGTTTAGCCAGTACTAATTCATTTCATCTTATAACTGTTTCTTCATTTTCCTTTGCAGCTATGGAGGTTAATGAAGTTCAGAACAATGATCAAAATGAGTTCCAGCAAAATAGAGATGAAAGACCGCCTTTCATTGATCTAAATCTGGACCCTTCGGAAGAGGCTATTGATGCATAATGCCAAGGATTTGATGTCAGAAGGTTTAGACTGTAAAATATACTGAAAGGTTTAGAACTTCCTGTTAAATGTGCCAAGTAAACAATACCTAGACTGCACATCATCTTCTGGTGTTATTAAAGTCATTGTTCTAACTAAGTTTACAAAGAAAATGGCATGTGAATGTAGAAAGCAAGGGTTAGATATAATGGTTTTTTTTTTTTTTCATGTCCTCTGCATTAGGATTTAGAAGTGCCTCAATTTTGTAACAAAAGCTTAGGATTTAGAAGTGCCTCAATGATTGTAACAAAAGCGATATTCCTTGTTAAATGTATATAGTTTTATTTTATCTTCATATATTTGTTCATCCTTGTTCCTCTTCCTTTATAATCAATTTTCTTATTACAATTATGAAAATATTATCACTATGAAAAAAATTATATTATGCTATGTCAAGCTCAAGCTACTCAAATTTTTAAGTTTTCCGTACACTTTTAATTTCCCTTGTCCACATCATAAATTTTAAAGGAAACTAGTTGCAAATAGTAGTCCCATTTATTGTCCAATAAATATGAAATGTAGGGATCTAGGGCCATTAAGCTTTGCTTTGGGCTTGGAGCCACAAAACTCACCAAAAAGAGAAAGGGTAAAACCTCTGTGGGAACCGTGTCATTTCACCAATCTGTGGATATGGAATATTTTGAAAAAATGAAATTCAAAGTTATAGTAAAAACTTTACTATTTTATGAAATAAGTATTTATATATTACATACATCTTGGTTAGCATGAATCCAAATTAATTGTACTTGCCTTTATATTGAATTCTATATGGAAAACATGAGATAAACGGAAAAATAATTTGTTGCACCTTATTAGTTAAGATATATGATTAATATTAAATGGAAATTATTATGTATAAAAAGAAAAATAATCTTTATTCATTAACCTAATATCTTCTATATAAAACTCAACATAAATGAGTGCAAATAATTTGGATTTTGGGGGGCTATAGGTAAACCCAAGATACATGAATATTTCATAGCTCAAATTTATCATGCAAAACAATAAAGTTCTTACTATAAGTTTGGTTTTCATTTATTTTTTCAAGTGTTTTTAGGAGTAGTTTTGAATTTATACCCGGTTAGCTGTTGGTTTTGTCTTTGATGTAATTGGACTAGATACAAGGCAACTATGATAGTAGAAAGGGGTTATAAAAAAGTTATTTTTTAGAGTGATTTTCTCCAGATCGCTTCAGCTCTTTAGAGTGCTTGTATTGATAGATCCGCAATGGGACATGTGGTGGAGGATACAAAGAATCTACTGGTTGTGGTTACTCGAGGAGGATTTACGCATGTCCACCATACTGCTAATGGAATGGCTCCTTCTATATTCTTTGTCCTTTGTTCTCTTTTTTTCCCCGTTAGACAATACATTTTTGTCCCCTTTTATTCAATGTTATGGAAAATGTGGTACTTCTAGCATTTTTCAGAATAAAAACAAATTGTCGAACTGATTGATGTGGACAAAAATAGAAAAAGATGAACATATTCAATTGGTTGACATCACTTTTGAATTTTGATGACATATCAAAATATCTACCTAAAAAATTTAGATCACTCTAGGAACCAGCGAAGTATATAATAGTTTTCTTCCACGAAATGCCCGATTGTGAGGGAGTCTCAAAAGTGATCTTATATTCTTTCATATAAACTTTTAACTTCCCCAATATCTCACATTTACGCCTTTCTTGTTGCTTACTTAATGTCTATTTAGCATAATGATGTTGCTTATGATGATATTATAAAGGTGAGGATCATGAGGTAAACTGTATAAAATAAAGATCCTGCAGCATATTTCCGTTTGCAACAATATATAATATGTAAAATCACACAATACATGTGAACATTTAAATATTGAACTTTATATGTCAAGTTATAGCACAATTAGTATGAAAAGAAATATATATACACGGATAATGGGTAGTTGTGTTTCATAAAAATAGGATCTATTATCTGATTTTTCTTTTAATTTTAAATTTTAATATGAAAAATTGTGAATTTATCATATTATCCTCATTTAATTAATAATTTCAATTCTTAATGTTTGCATTAATCAATGGCATTTTCTGGTATTTTGAATGTTTTACCATTTTTTGGTTTTTTTTTTTTAAGTTTAGGGAGAAATTGGCTACTCTCACCACCAACACTAGGACATACCTACAACTGCCAGTTGCTACTGATATGGATTTATGTAGAAAATTACAAATCGCGTACCAATGAGAACTAATGGCAACAAGAAAATAAATATTTTCTTTAATTGAGAGGAAAATGGATTTTCACTCGCATTTTAGGCCTTGGGGATTTTTTTTTTTTTTTTGTCGAAAGGCCTTGGGGATTAAGTAACTAGGAAACCAAGGCTTTCGTCTCTTGCCAGCCCTCTACTTTTTGTCCCAACTTTGCTCAATCTTTTATGCACCCTGCCTGACGAAGCAACTAGGAAACCTCCAGTTTCAGGCTCTCAGAATTTTCAAAATAAATGAACAACTGGCTTTTCTCTTCTATAGCGTGCGAACACCAATTTGGTTTACGTCCTTCAAAAGACTTAAATGCCCCCATATTGCTCTTAAATTATTTTTCATGTCTGACTATTTCTTTTTCTTTTTTTTAAATTCGAAGGGTAGAATCATTCTCTATATTAAAAACAAAATTGTTTGGCGCTGGCCTTATAAGGTGATATGATGAGGAGGTAGGTGTCCTTAACATGTCACGCGATGTCATTAAGTGCTCTTAATGAGGTATAAGACGATTAAGCAAGGGGTAATGAAATTCAATACCCTATAACCTAAGACTATGTGCATTTAGTTAGTGTTATTCAACCACGGTTGGGGCGAACAAGGAAAAACTAGCATCAGTCGTCTACGGAAAACTAATAATCGTGTTCAAACAGTAAGTGAAATTTATGAAACTATGACATATTTCTTATTACAAAGAATCTATTTCTTTCTACTTGAAAAAGAAAAAAGAAATCTTAACATACCATTATTATACCCTCAACCAATTCCATGGTGTGTCTTGTGTTGTGCGCATGATTTTGTGGGCTTGGTTAACGCCTTTATTAAATAGCAAGATGATTGGGAAGTCGTGCAATACACACAAAGATAAAAGCACCATCCAAGGAAGATGGGCAATAATGGACCTTGACGCAGTTGCCACAAATTTTTTTGTTTCTTAAACTTTAGTATCTTTTATTTGGGCATATAAATATATAAGTAATTTTTCAGTATATTCCCACATAAACAAAATTCAGAATACGTTGAAACAAAATTAACAATGTAATTTTGGAGTTAAGATTTAAAAATTAAAATTTTATATTAGAAATTGATTAAACAAAAACCTAATTATATTTTTTTAAGCAATAATATATTATATTTTAATAGATCACAACGCTAAATCAAACATGAAAATTATGAAAATGCCCTTTCGGTAAAATCGATCAGAAAGAGAACACGTGGCGGAATATAGTCCCTGTTACTACGTCACAAGCACTATACACAAAATTCCGACATTATAGGGTGCTTTTATAATACAATACAAACAATCGCCTTCTTCATTCCCTCCTCGGTTTCTCCTTCTTCTTCACAATCTCCACTTCGTCTTCTTCTTGCCGTTCCCTCTCTCCCTCTGTCTCTCCGGCGAAGATCTTACCTCTCGCTGCAATTTCTCGCCGGAACAAGCATATCTATCCAATTTCTCGCGATTCATTCTGAGCTCCAGCCATGAATCCCGAATAGTAAGTTCAATCCGATGATTCTTCTAATTATATTTTTTATATTCCGCCGATTGAATTTGATTGTATATGCGATGCGATGATTTTAGAACCGCAATTATATTGTAGGCTGTAATTTAAATTTAATTTAGTTTAATTCTGTTTTTTTTTTGTTTGAATTGAGGGCTTTTGAGTATAGATCTAGATGCCTGGCAATCAGATCCGTTGAAATTTTTTCTTAGATTCATAATTTATGTGAATTTTAGGGCTTGTAATTTGAAAGAATTCATACCCGAAGCGGTTGGATCGGTGCTGTTTATGTTTGATTTTGATTGCTGTATAGAGTATAGTAATTCCGATCAGTAAATTGTGCTGAAAATTTTATGCAGTGACTATTTGTTCAAGCTTTTGTTGATTGGAGATTCTGGTGTCGGCAAGTCATGTCTACTTCTGCGGTTTGCTGTAAGTGGGAGACAATTAGGCATCGAATTCTTCATTTTTTTTCTCTCAGTATTTGAGAGTCATAAAGATAATTGAGATTTGGGGTTCCTGATTGATATATTTTGTTTTGTAAACCAGGATGATTCATACTTGGATAGCTACATCAGCACAATTGGAGTTGACTTTGTAAGCATTTCTTGCGCTGGGTTTCTACACCGTCGATTCATTTTATGAACTCTCACTAATATATGTTATCTCTATTGTGTATTTTAGAAAATTCGCACTGTGGAGCAGGATGGGAAGACTATCAAACTCCAAATTGTGAGTATATATGAATTGGTTTAATAGTTTTTTGCGCGGTAGATTGAGATCTGTTCTAGTAAAGCTGTGTTGATGTAGTTGGTAGCTCTTTTGAACTAGTTCACATGAATTTTTCAACATGTAAACCTGTCGCATCTTGCCTTTTTCTGTTCTTAGTTGCTAATTGATGTTGCTTTGGGGATGTGCAGTGGGACACTGCTGGCCAAGAACGTTTTAGGACAATCACTAGCAGCTACTACCGCGGGGCTCATGGAATCATTGTAAGTGTGTTGTTTCCTATTTATTTGTTGTGCCTGTTATTTTTCCCAAGTTTTCCTCTTGATGTAAGATATAAGTCTCATGCCCTTGGGTTTCTTGCAGGTTGTTTATGATGTCACAGACCAAGAGAGCTTTAACAATGTTAAGCAATGGTTGAATGAAATCGACCGATATGCAAGTGAAAATGTGAACAAGCTTCTAGTGGGAAACAAGTGCGATCTCACGGCAAATAAAGTTGTGTCCTATGAGACAGCCAAGGTGAATATTGATGAGCCTGTTCTAGTTTCTTGGCATTGTATATCTTGGAGATGCAAAGTATAATGATGGAATTTGTTGTTTCTTTTTAGGCATTTGCCGATGAAATTGGAATCCCTTTCATGGAAACCAGTGCTAAGAATTCCACTAATGTGGAGCAAGCCTTCATGGCCATGGCTGCTGAGATCAAGAACAGGTACTTTCTTGCATTTGTGTTTTTGTGTCGTTGTATGGTAATAGTTGCACCATTCTAGATGACCAGCTTCTCACACATGTTTTGAATTTTATCTGCAGGATGGCAAGCCAACC